CAATGTTATGTCTCTTGCTATTTTGAAAGGGAGAGAGAAACTAGATCTCCAGTTAACCATTTTACTTTTTCTGTATTAGTAAGGTTTCTTCTATTATTGAGGGTGTTGTACATATCTCTACTTCCCTTTTTACTTCTTAATAATACATTGATGTGAAAGGGTATAAATCATCTTTCAATAAATGAATTATTTGATCTTATGACATTAGAAAATTTCCAGTGGTAACATTATACTTTTCTTTAAAATCTGTGTAGCTTAAAAAACCCCATCTATTTGTATTATATCTCCAACATATTCTACATTTTGTACATACCATTCATTATAGAAAAAGTGGTCATTATTAATCTTACAATTTCTATTGTATCATATTGGCGATTTTAAAAGGTCATCAAAATTTTCAAGATTTGTCATTTCTGCCACTTTGGTCCATGTTTCAAAAACATCTTTCCAAAATTGCTCAGTTTTTAATTTCATATCTTACCTAATGTTTTGGAGTATTTGTTGTCAAAAAAATAAATGAAAAATACATTTGAAATATAAAACACATTACTTAAAACAAAGCAGAAATGAAAGTGGCATATGTTCGGGCGTTGTTTTTCGTAAGGCAGGTCATAACACGGATTATAACGTCACGAGTTTTTAAAATGACTTGTAATATGTCGATTTTGTTTAAAGAGTCGCGTCTTTTTTAATAATGATGACCCTTTCATCCGACATTTCATGACAACATAAATACATTTTCCTTTAATAACAAGGAAGAAAGCCATTGTGCCAGCGATCGTCCTTGTAATGGACAAAAAGGGCAGCCGTAAGAGGTCTTTAACTGTCCATTTGACTGTTGTACATGACAGAACTTGTCAGAAGCACCAACACTAAGATGCAGGCTCCAACTGTCCGTCTTAGGTTGTGGCGAAAGTCCATTGAGGTTTGCGTGATAACATCGCTTAGCGTTTCCCTTGTCCGTCCATACAGTCTTTGTGAAAAATACAATATATTAAGGCAGAGCGACGCAATTAAGTCGATATTGTGGAAAACCCTATGAAGTTAAGCGAACTTCCTGTCCTGTGATGGCTGTAATATTAGCTTAGAAATAAAGTAATGTCTATAGTAGCTTCATCATGATGGTTTTTATGTTATGATTAATATTCTTCTCCTAAATCTTTTAAGGCATTTGTGTTTCTAATCAATAGTTGTGGACTCTAATTATTAACCATAATTTTATTTCCTGTGTAATGTGACAAAGACATGGCAATCCTCTACCCATAAAACACATCATTACGTGAGATAAGGAGATCGGACACGACTGTCTGCTGTCCTAGAACACATTGCAAGGCAAATTGATCGCTGTTCCATTAAAAAAAGTAGAATGTGAGTGTCGACAATTTGTACAGACAGTTTTGATCAGTGTTCTTTTTGTTAAACGATAGCTCATTGTCCTTGTTAAGACTTAACTAATGTCCTCTCTGAATCAACTGTGAAACACCGTAGGTGGGAAAAGCCGGCACGTTACGCTTGTATTATTTGTAGTGAATGCGTTGTTGCTGGAGTGTTATATCCATTAAGATAAGATTGACGCAAAAGCTTGAACAAAACACACCACTAAACGAACAAACAAGTGGAAACCTTCAACAATACCAAAGGCATTTATCTGTGCGATAATAACAATATGCTGTTAAAACACCAACACGACAAATATAATACTATATTTTTGCACAATAGAATATTTCGTTAAGGCACTTCACTTCAACCAGAGGTTTATTTTCGCTCAATGTAAATTGGAACCTTCAATAACCACATCATTTTATGATTTATTTGATTGCATACATGTGACTTGTACAATATCTTGAAAACCAAAACGAATGTTTGTTACACTGACAAAGCACCAATATTGTGGTCACGGTCGTAATCCTGCAGTGTTACCCCTTCATATAACATTAAGTTCTCTTCTGCAGTGCAGTTATATTCCTTCATATTAACATTTAATTCTCCACTAGAGTTTAAATTTTTTCACCATATTACTTTCACTTTTGAAGTTCAGTCCTGTATATATCCTCAATACTACACGCATTTTTCATCTAAAGAGAAAAGGCTTGTACAGTTTAATTAAGTTTGGTTAATCAAGCATGCAATAGAAATAAACCTCTCATTATTGACCCAACCCCCCGTACCAGCTGATGGACGTTTACGTCTATAGATAACGTTCGTGTGCGAAACATTCTGGAAACCTATTACGTTCAGATACTTCATTTCCAATGTCCTAAAACTAGTAACATTTCTGTTTTTCAGATTGGGTCCTCTTCAATTTCGGTGTCACGCAGTCCGTGAAATGTTTGATATGCACACGCCATCGACGCTGGTTGGGAGATTGGAATTAAAGTTTTGTTTGTTTAATAGATTCCTAAACACACGCTGGCGACCGCTGTGTCATATTTTTTCTTTGTTTCTTTATTTTTCAGAGTAATCCATAACTACCGGGAGGACACTTTCGTAAAAGTGCTTTGAGACTAAGAAACCGCCGAAAGTTTGTTAATAATACCAGTGTGTAGATATACACTGCCAATCTCTCATGTAACTACCCAGTGCAAGTCGGCCGGTAGTATTGTGATAATTGAATTATTCCGATAGCATTCATTGTTAAAACAATTAACTCTGTAAATACATTACGTGATTGGCTGCTTTGAGCCCAGGAGAACATTTGAAATTATTACTGTGTTTTCTGTAACCTGATGATTTTGGACTGACTAACATTGTATTGTTTTGGTACATTCAATTCATGCCATGTGTTTTCGACCTGACAAGCACACACGCCAGACATCTAACATCTATCTATAGTAATCAGTTCGTTTCCAACTGAACTCGTGGGTACTAGCACTTTAGACATTTCCGTCTCTGGTAATCTATTTTTTCGGTTTTCACAATAACTTGGTACTAATGCAGTGTAGCATGTACTAAATGTTGACCTTGTATATGTACAGAACAGTAGGTACTTGTACTCTTGCTGGTTATTTTGAGTTTAAAACAATTGGCTATGCCTGCGGCAGTAGGCATTTTAATCTAATTGTTTTATGTACGAAAAGAGAAAATATTAGAAAGTTCGGCACTGATGTTAATTCATTTATAGCTGATATTAGTTTTGCTCGTAGTAATGAGACATACATTATAACTAGTCTCTTTAGTAAGCGTTTACACAACCAAGATATACTTCCAACAATGAAACATACAGTATAACTAGTCTCTTTAGTACGCGTTAACACAACCAAGATGTACTTACAATAATGAGACATACAGTATAACTAGTCTCTTTAGTAAGCGTTTACACAACCAAGATGTACTTACAACAATGAGACATACAGTATAACTAGTCTCTTTAGTAAGCGTTTACACAACCAAGATATACTTACAACAATGAAACATACAGTATATCTAGTCTCTTTAGTAAGCGTTTACACAACCAAGATGTACTAACAATAAAGGGATATACATTGTAGCTAGTCTCTTAAGTAAGCGTTTACACAACCAAGATGTACTAACAATAAAGGGATATACATTGTAGCTAGTCTCTTAAGTAAGCGTTTACACAACCAAGATATACTTACAATAATGAGACATACAGTATAACTAGTCTCTTTAGTAAGCGTTAACACAACCAAGATGTACTTACAACAATGAGACATACATTATAACTAGGCTCTTTAGTAAGCGTTTACACAACCAAGATGAACTAACAATAAAGGGATATCCAATGTAGCTAGTCTCTTTAGTAAGCGTTTACACAACCAAGATGAACTTACAATACTGAGAGAAACAGTGTAACTAGTCTCTTTAGTAAGCGTTTACACAACCGAGATATACTTACAATAATGAGACATACAGTATAACTAGTCTCTTTAGTAAGCGTTAACACAACCAAGATGTACTTACAACAATGAGACATACATTATAACTAGGCTCTTTAGTAAGCGTTTACACAACCAAGATGAACTAACAATAAAGGGATATCCAATGTAGCTAGTCTCTTTAGTAAGCGTTTAAGCAACCAAGATATACTCACAATAAAGGGATATCCAATGTAGCTAGTCTCTTTAGTAAGCGTTTACACAACCAAGATATACTCACAATAAAGGGATATCCAATGTAGCTAGTCTCTTTAGTAAGCGTTTACACAACCAAGATGAACTAACAATAAAGGGATATCCAATGTAGCTAGTCTCTTTAGTAAGCGTTTAAGCAACCAAGATATACTCACAATAAAGGGATATCCAATGTAGCTAGTCTCTTTAGTAAGCGTTTAAACAACCAAGATATACTCACAATAAAAGGATATACAATGTACCTAGTCTCTTTAGTAAGCGTTTACACAACCAAGATGAACTTACAATACTGAGAGAAACAGTGTAACTAGTCTCTTTAGTAAGCGTTTACACAACCAAGATGAACTTACAATAATGAGACATACAGTAAAACTAGTCTCTTTAGTAAGCGTTTACTATTATTATTATCTAATCGATGGGGCGTATCTTTTATTTGTTTTAATTCTTCAATTGTTGGGACCACAGAGGTCCCTGTTTGCATTTAATCCTTTTTTAGTAAAAGCGGTTTTGTTTTATTTATTTTGCAGATACCTCGAATAGATGTTTACTAGTGCTCAGTTTTTATTTACTGTAACACACGGAATTGCATTTAGTTGTTTGTGTTTGCAATCCTGTATCGATATTTGCTGACTGCGAGTTATTGTCTGTCCAAACATGCATGACTCCACTGCAATGGTAGTGAATGCGTCTATCTAAAATGGTCTGCATATTGGTAGTGGGATACAAGCATTGGTAGCCAGTGATGTCTAAGGCAGTCTAGTCTGGTCGTATCGGCCAATACAATCCAATTTCTGGGATGTTGACAAATCTTGAGTGTTAGGCTGCCTACATTGGTTTGCAAGTGCTAATTTTGGGGATCTGTCAACACATTTATATTGCTGTAGTAATAACAGTGTTCTTTCCTCACAGACTGTGCGACATGGTGTCCTTTCGTTTAGGCCTGGTAATCGTTTACCTCCATCTACATCCCAGGACAGCAGACCCTCAGACCAGGTAAGTATTTTACATAGCAGCAATACAATACTTATATATGATAGGTCTTTATTTCCTTGCTTAGCAACAGACAGAAACTTATATACTCTTGATTTCCTCCATTAGCAACAAGTAATAAGTAAGCTCATATATGATACTTTATTTATCATAGATAGATATTCCTAACTCCCCCCATCCAGGAGATGCTAACTGTTAAATGTTAATCATAGTCCCATTGAGCTATATAACGTTAAGGTTATACCAACACGGCACCATTGGGCACACCATCAGGTTTACATTTTACCAAAAGCATCTTGGCGCTGATTACGTCTGCTAGACATAGCATACATTCTTTCGGCGGGTGCCTCGGTAGCCGTAATCGCTTACGCGCTCAGTCATTGTACTACTGTGTGCAATCAAGCGTGAGCTTCAGACCACTCGCTTTCCCAATAATTTCGGTTCGATCTCCAGCGGTGGTTGGAAAAAGAGAGTAATATCTGATAGGGTTAGTTGTTATCCCTCTGATGGCACGGTGGTTTCCCCCCGTGGGTTTTCCTCCACCACGAAAACACCATTTGTTCCCTTAGCGGCGTCGTAATAAAAGCTCTACAGAGTTATGTTTGTTGTTGACAATTGTACACGACGTTAAATAAAGATTATTATTATTACGTGTTCCTCTTTTCAGAAAACGTATTCATATAAAAGAGGATGAGTTAAACAATCTAATTGTCATCGAAACACTGCATGCTATGTACACCTGAAATAGTTCCGACAGTTTCTATTACATTGTATATACTATTGCATAGCTCTTCCTACCGCTTCCGAAACTACATCGCAACGTCGTCCAAAACTTTCTGACAAAACCGACATATTCACTTTCGTAAAACCGACATTTAAATTTACTTTGCCGATGTTATGTTTTCTAATGTTGCGGAGAAATCGTTAATCTGTCTATTGTTGTAGATGTAAAACAGCCTTTGTTGTAAGTGATTGTTTTATGTGTGGTACGACGAGGTATATACAAGTACGAGCATTTTTGTCTTTTCATAATTAGAGATATTCATATTATAAAACTTGTATTTTAATTATTCATTTGTGTTCTTTTTGAGCAATTTATATTGTAAATTTGTAATTTGTATACAATTCAGTCAATTTGTAATTGAATTTTTATGATTCAAATTCGAGGTCTTATGCTTGATATTAGTACGTTAATAAAATCTTGCGATTTGTTTTATAAATCTTGTGATGTATGATAAGTACAATCTGCAGTAAAGTAAATAAGATCTAATTCTTTATTCTTTATTAGACTTTTATCATTGTTCAGAACGTCTATCTCCGCTATGTTTGATTTCCTTAGTCTTACAATCCGTACGTGCTTTTCATTATTCAAAGCAAGTCTTCATATCTGTTAATTTCTGGTTAAAACAAGGAAATTAAATGTTCAGCCATTGGAAAATGCAGTCGAAAAGAATATAAACGACAACACCAGATTACTCATGATGCTAATTTTAACATATACACAATTTTTGTCCATTACGAAAATAAACCACTTGATTCCTAACAAGCTGTGATTATGAATATAAATGTTCAATTACTGTATATAATAATGTGAAAATAAATCACTAATTTTACTTGTTACATGAATATCGTAAGAGTTGAAATATAATCACAGTTTTAACCTAGATAAACCACACGTTCTATGATAGATTTTGTACCATAAATATATTTTGTTTCAAATGAGTCAACCGTACAAGCGTAATATTCGTATATTTAAACAGACAATAAAAAGGTAAAAAATTCAGATTACTGATATAAAACAAATCGTTATCTGCCTGGCCTATCTTCAAACTCAATTAATCAGAAATCGAACGCAATTGAAAGTATCTATTTGGGGCCTAATCATCTCCATCCTCGTGATGTCAGTTTATCCAGCAGTAAGTCTTAAGATTCAACAGTCAAATCCGACAGAGCTGCTATCTCCTGTAGTCATGTATCTAAAGTTTACATCAGGCTAGGAGTAATGGAATCACATCTGTTGACAGAATATGTTTATAAAAAGGATGTGAGTTACATCTGTCTACTTTGTATTCAGTTGAGTATGTTGTTGTTTACTGTATAGGTCTGACTTCATTGGAGCCCTCATTATCGACTATGATAACCGGATACCGCCAAACTTTGAGAAAAGTGAGTACAGCTCGTTTCCTTATATGTTGTGTAATCCGATAAATCGCGCCACAGCATTAGTGGTGTTCGTAATAAGTGATTATGTTATCTTAATTGAATCCAAATTCGTCCAATTTCATGTCTGTACTTTTGAGGATGTTCTTCTTTGTAAGTTGTTAATTGGTTGTTACATGTATGCTGATTCTAAACAGGTCGAGTTTGTTTTTGTGGGGAATGACATTAATAATTTTATACGTACTCTAATTCATTTGAAATATTATCGGAATAATTGATATTTATAAAACCTTTGTTCAACTTTGAGAGGGTAGAAATATTATAATAACTCGATACAATGGTGGGTGCTTTACATACAGATTCTTTCAGACGATTTGCTGTCACGAATGGTATTTGTTTATTAAACAACCCTCAACAACTGTATTAGCATCTAAAGCATGCATCAAAAATGATATAACTGACACATTAGACCCGAGTCAGTAAATGCCGCGCGACAGATACATTATGCCATTACATGTGATGTTTGTATGTACAACGTACGTGCAAAAGACATGGAGTGTCAGATATAATGAGTACCACAAAACGGACAGTGCATGTTAGTGACGTCACGGTGGATGAAAAGCTGCTGAAGTTTGTGTTTAGACATCTCCAATTTCAAACGTACCCGGCAATATTGCAAGAACTCATATTCAAACTATCAAGGGTGTTCGCCAGGCACGTGCTGCGTTCGTTTTCAGGCCATGTAACATAGTGAAACACTCATCCTATAATTATAAAGGTGATTGCAGTGAATTATAACGATTACTATCTATTGACATAGCCGTTTTGATATTCTGAACTAGGAGACAGCATATTTACATGCTGTGGTTTTCAAACTAATCATCTTAGATAAATACACTGCAAAACGAAATAATCATGGTTTTGCTTTCAGTAAATGAATGGTTATTATAAAATCGTCTAATAATATTTCTTAGTTATAAAGTTTTTTTGCTGAACATCATTGTAAGACATACGACGTCCTGTGGACGACCTGTCTTGGCTACGTATAAACCATATTTACCAAATTAACTAGGAAATTTCAAGGAACACCTTATGGACGACTATTCTAGTTTGTAGATTGAAAATGTTTCCTCTTTTTACAGACAATTACACAGAGGTTAATGTCAGCTTGTTCATCAACAATATTGATTCAATTAGTGAAAGATCAATGGTAAGTATAGTTAGCAGTGGGACGTGTTGTCAGTTAAGTTAGACAAAGTTCGTTCAATGTAGTAAGCAATTGGGCGTGTTTTAGTTTTCAGTAAAGCTAGACGTAGTTCCTGGATTGTGCAATGGTAAATATAGTCAGCAGTGGGACGTGTTCATTCGACAGTAAAGTAAGGCGTAGTTAGTGGACTGTGCAATGGTACATGTACAAATGTGAGTACAGCTAGCAGCTGAGTACAACGTATGTTAAGTCGTCATTAACGTTAGTCATAGTTCATTGCTCGTTGGTAAATAATGTTAGCAGTGGGACGTGTTCGGTCGGCAATAAAGTTGGTCGCAGCTCGTGGATTGTTCAATGGTAAATATTGTTACGGTAGCAGTGGGACGGATTTTTGGTCGTCAAAAAAAATGGCGTTGTTTCCGGACTGTTTAATGGTAAGTGAAGTTAACAATGGGACGTGTTTAGGTTTCAGTAAAGTTAGACGCTACTCCCGGACTGTTGAATGGTAAGAGTAGTTAATAGTGGGACGTGTTAGGTTTCAGTAAAGTTAGACGCTACTCCCGGACTGTTTAATGGTAGGAGTAGTTAACAGTGGGACGTGTTTAGGTTTCGGTAAAGTTAGACGCTACTCCCGGACTGTTGAATGGTAAGAGTAGTTAATAGTGGGACGTGTTAGGTTTCAGTAAAGTTAGACGCTACTCCCGGACTGTTGAATGGTAAGAGTAGTTAATAGTGGGACGTGTTTAGGTTTTAGTAAAGTTAGACACTACTCCCGGACTGTTTAATGGTAAGTGAAGTTAACAGTGGGACGTGTTTAGGTTTCAGTAAAGTTAGTCGCTACTCCCGGACTGTTTAATGGTAAGAGTAGTTAACAGTGGGACGTGTTTAGGTTTCGGTAAAGTTAGACGCTACTCCCGGACTGTTGAATGGTAAGAGTAGTTAATAGTGGGACGTGTTAGGTTTCAGTAAAGTTAGACGCTACTCCCGAACTGTTTAATGGTACAAGTAGTTAACAGTGGGACGTGTTTAGGTTTCGGTAAAGTTAGACGCTACTCCCGGACTGTTGAATGGTAAGAGTAGTTAATAGTGGGACGTGTTTAGGTTTCAGTAAAGTTAGACACTACTCCCGGACTGTTTAATGGTAAGAGTAGTTAACAGTGGGACGTGTTTAGGTTTCAGTAAAGTTAGATGCTACTCCCGGACTGTTTAATGGTACAAGTAGTTAACAGTGGGACGTGTTTAGGTTTCGGTAAAGTTAGACGCTACTCCCGGACTGTTTAATTGTAAGTGAAGTTAACAGTGGGACGTGTTTAGGTTTCAGTAAAGTTAGATGCTACTCCCGGACTGTTTAATGGTACAAGTAGTTAACAGTGGGACGTGTTTAGGTTTCAGTAAAGTTAGGCGCTACTCCCGGACTGTTTAATGGTAAGAGGAGTTAATAGTGGGACGTGTTTAGGTTTCAGTAAAGTTAGACACTACTCCCGGACTGTTTAATGGTAAGAGTAGTTAGCCGTGGGACGTGTTTAGGTTTCAGTAAAGTTAGTCGCTACTCCCGGACTGTTTAATGGTAAGAGTAGTTAATAGTGGGCCGTGTTTAGGTTTCAGTAAAGTTAGACGCTTCTCCCGGACTGTTTAATGGAAAGAGTAGTTAGCCGTGAGACGTGTTTATGTTTCAGTAACGTTAGACGCTGCTCCCGGACTGTTTAATGGTACGAGTAGTTAGCCGTGAGACGTGTTTAGGTTTCAGTAAAGTTAGATGCTACTCCCGGACTGTTTAATGGTACGAGTAGTTAGCTGTGAGACGTGTTTAGGTTTCAGTAAAGTTAGATGCTACTCCCGGACTGTTTAATGGTAAGAGTAGTTAACAGTGGGACGTGTTAGGTTTCAGTAAAGTTAGACGCTGCTCCCGGACTGTTTAATGCTACGAGTAGTTAGCCGTGAGAGTAGTTAGCCGTGAGACGTGTTTATGTTTCAGTAACGTTAGACGCTGCTCCCGGACTGTTTAATGGTACAAGTAGTTAACAGTGGGACGTGTTTAAGTTCAGTAAAGTTAGACGCTACTCACGGACTGTTTAATGGTAAGAGTAGTTAATAGTGGGACGTGTTTAGGTTTCAGTAAAGTTAGACGCTACTCCCGGACTGTTTAATGGTACGAGTAGTTAGCCGTGAGACGTGTTTAGGTTTCAGTAAAGTTAGACGCTACTCCCGGACTGTTTAATGGTACGAGTAGTTAGCCGTGAGACGTGTTTAGGTTTCAGTAAAGTTAGACGCTACTCCCGGACTGTTTAATGGTACGAGTAGTTAGCCGTGAGACGTGTTTAGGTTTCAGTAAAGTTAGACGCTACTCCCGGACTGTTTAATGGTACGAGTAGTTAGCCGTGAGACGTGTTTAGGTTTCAGTAAAGTTAGACGCTACTCCCGGACTGTTTAATGGTACGAGTAGTTAGCCGTGAGACGTGTTTAGGTTTCAGTAAAGTTAGACGCTACTCCCGGACTGTTTAATGGTACGAGTAGTTAGCCGTGAGACGTGTTTAGGTTTCAGTAAAGTTAGACGCTACTCCCGGACTGTTTAATGGTACGAGTAGTTAGCCGTGAGACGTGTTTAGGTTTCAGTAAAGTTAGACGCTACTCCCGGACTGTTTAATGGTACGAGTAGTTAGCCGTGAGACGTGTTTAGGTTTCAGTAAAGTTAGACGCTACTCCCGGACTGTTTAATGGTACGAGTAGTTAGCCGTGAGACGTGTTTAGGTTTCAGTAAAGTTAGACGCTACTCCCGGACTGTTTAATGGTACGAGTAGTTAGCCGTGAGACGTGTTTAGGTTTCAGTAAAGTTAGACGCTACTCCCGGACTGTTTAATGGTACGAGTAGTTAGCCGTGAGACGTGTTTAGGTTTCAGTAAAGTTAGACGCTACTCCCGGACTGTTTAATGGTACGAGTAGTTAGCCGTGAGACGTGTTTAGGTTTCAGTAAAGTTAGACGCTACTCCCGGACTGTTTAATGGTACGAGTAGTTAGCCGTGAGACGTGTTTAGGTTTCAGTAAAGTTAGACGCTACTCCCGGACTGTTTAATGGTACGAGTAGTTAGCCGTGAGACGTGTTTAGGTTTCAGTAAAGTTAGACGCTACTCCCGGACTGTTTAATGGTACGAGTAGTTAGCCGTGAGACGTGTTTAGGTTTCAGTAAAGTTAGACGCTACTCCCGGACTGTTTAATGGTACGAGTAGTTAGCCGTGAGACGTGTTTAGGTTTCAGTAAAGTTAGACGCTACTCCCGGACTGTTTAATGGTACGAGTAGTTAGCCGTGAGACGTGTTTAGGTTTCAGTAAAGTTAGACGCTACTCCCGGACTGTTTAATGGTACGAGTAGTTAGCCGTGAGACGTGTTTAGGTTTCAGTAAAGTTAGACGCTACTCCCGGACTGTTTAATGGTACGAGTAGTTAGCCGTGAGACGTGTTTAGGTTTCAGTAAAGTTAGACGCTACTCCCGGACTGTTTAATGGTACGAGTAGTTAGCCGTGAGACGTGTTTAGGTTTCAGTAAAGTTAGACGCTACTCCCGGACTGTTTAATGGTACGAGTAGTTAGCCGTGAGACGTGTTTAGGTTTCAGTAAAGTTAGACGCTACTCCCGGACTGTTTAATGGTACGAGTAGTTAGCCGTGAGACGTGTTTAGGTTTCAGTAAAGTTAGACGCTACTCCCGGACTGTTTAATGGTACGAGTAGTTAGCCGTGAGACGTGTTTAGGTTTCAGTAAAGTTAGACGCTACTCCCGGACTGTTTAATGGTACGAGTAGTTAGCCGTGAGACGTGTTTAGGTTTCAGTAAAGTTAGACGCTACTCCCGGACTGTTTAATGGTACGAGTAGTTAGCCGTGAGACGTATTTAGGTTTCAGTAAAGTTAGACGCTACTCCCGGACTGTTTAATGGTACGAGTAGTTAGCCGTGAGACGTGTTTAGGTTTCAGTAAAGTTAGACGCTACTCCCGGACTGTTTAATGGTACGAGTAGTTAGCCGTGAGACGTATTTAGGTTTCAGTAAAGTTAGACGCTACTCCCGGACTGTTTAATGGTACGAGTAGTTAGCCGTGAGACGTATTTAGGTTTCAGTAAAGTTAGACGCTGAGAACACATCGCAGTTATCAGAGAGTGTTTCTACAATGTAATATGATGATTAAGGATGACTTAACTTTAATAAGGCGCATATCGGATGAACACGCTTTGTGGAAAATGTATATAAGCATTGAAGATCATATTTAAAGGCAATTATGAATACCTTGATATTCCTCGGGGAATTTCTTTTTGTTTATTCAAATATGCTTTAAGGAAAAGAAATGGAATACGGCAAAACTATTAAAACATGATGTGAAAAAAATGGAAACGTTAATAAATGATCAGACTGATGTAGAATAACTATCCAATTTTCCTCCTCTATGTATCACGTGTGTGTATGTTTTGGCCCTCTGAGTAGACGAGATGTCATTAGGGTGTATCAGCCTTATTTCCTGTGCTACTGTTGGTTACTACCTTACAGGACTTCACAATGAATGCGTTCATTCAACAAGAGTGGTTTGACTTCCGCCTCCAATTCTTTGACCTAATCGACGCTCCCTATTTGGAACTCGATGCCAAACTTATAGACGATGTCTGGGTACCTGACTTGTATTTCACTAATGAGAAATCAGCCTTTTCCCATGACGTCACAGTTGCTAATAAGATGATGCACCTATACTCTAATGGTCGTGTGGTGTATCGACAAAGGTGAGTGGAGAAAAAACTCGTTAGTATGGACACTTTGGCTTGCGTGCACAAAGCTCCTGTAACCGAAAGCTCGCTTGATTGGCCAATTAATCTTCCTACAAAGAACACTCCGTTGTTTGCGTAATTTATCTTCTGTGTACAGCGAAACATCGTTTGTAGAATTTTTCACATTTCATAAATCATGCCTGAATCAACTGATTAAGTCACAGCAAATAAGCAATGTGTAAGATAAATGAGAGACAACCTTTAAAATATAATTTGATAAAAAGTATACTCAAACCAATAATCATTAGCCTGCCGCTACAATCATTTAAGCTGACGGTATATATAAGGTTTCCACGTTGGTAGTGTTACTGATGTAAATATTGCCACTAGAGTTTCAGTGACCGCTTCCTGTCCAATGAAACTCCACAAGTACCCATTCGATTCCCAAGTCTGCTCACTGTACATTCAGAGCTGTAAGTATCATATTTTTAACATGTCTTTTAAATGACTAAAAAATAGTTTTTTTTATGTTATAAGAAAAAGAAAAAATATTTGCTTTTTTTTTGAAAATTTGACCAGCAACCTTCTTTTCAATCGGAAAGGTTTTTACAAAATCGCTTAAAGATGTTTACGGTCGCCATCAGACCCCGTTTCCCGACCGCACCATGTTAGTTTCTACTGAGATACAGTTTGTCTTACATCGATAAGGGGACTGCGGGTGCTCATATTGTTCGGAATGTAATAGGGAAAAATCATGACAGACGCCATATGTGGTTAAGGTAAACGCTAACCATACGGGAGACCATATCGTACGTGATAGTGTTGGCGGTTCTGATGTCTGTGCTGTTGTTGTTACCTCTCAGTACCTTTCACTTTTCTCAGGTTATACTTTATATTGCGTATTGGGGCGGTGGTATCATGTTTGCTACATCCTACATTATCTTTCCATTACCTCAAATATAGGTATTCGCGTTTTAATGACGGCTGTTATTGTAGAATGTTATTTATAGAATAAATTGTCATCGGTAGAACTCCTAGCTTTGTCGTGCTGGTGTGTTATCTTGGTGCGTCTGTTTACGTTGTGATATGTATACAGATATACCTTGTTTAAAAACAAACTACCGATGCTTATTAATTAAGCTTTTTTTGTGGTAATTCTTTTATATAGCAATTCTATTTGATGACATTTATGCAAAAAATACTGATATACTATTGATTACGTGAACGTGATAGAATGGCGATTGCAATTGTTGCTAACATGGAACTATGATTATTGAAATAAATTTAACACGCCTAAAATTAAAATGATACTGTATATAGTTATTGATATAATATCATTTATAATGGCATCAGCCTGTATGTGTTGTCTTAAATAATATACACTAACATGATGATACTTAATACATTGACCAGTTGCCTATACACTCGGACGACTACGGTTTAGGTGGCGGTCTATGGACCCAGTGCGGACAAATACAAACATTGAGCTACCACAGTTCAAACTGACGCGACATCTGGTAAAGGACTGTACCGAAAACGGCGGCTCGTCAATCGCAGAGCTACGTAAGGCATTGGCTGTTATTTATAGAAACCCTTTACATGTATACAGCGTCCCGGTGTATGTCTTTGTGTGTAGAATACCGACTTAAATGTAGATAAAGATAAAACATGAAAACTGCTTAGTGTTTAATAAACATATGCTTTCTGTACTGATTTTGGATTTGTTTGATGTTCATGTTTAAACATGTTGGCGAATTCCCCCCTTTATTGACAATTTCATTTTTTGATCGTATAAAGTATTCGAGATCGGAAATATGTGTATTGGTAGTGGTAATATTGAAATTTCGAAATCTCAATAGAACTAACCTTCACCTGTTTTGTTTTTTCTAAATAAAATAAAAAAATTGCAACAACTTTTCTTTTTTTCCAACAGAACAATTTGGTTATATACATACTCTTTACCTGTTATTTGCATTCCAGGCGGGAAATTCATGTTTGATGTTTTATGTTCCCTGACCGGAGATTTTCCATGTACTTGTTACGTTTAGGTGTTATTTTCCCTGACCGGAGATTTTCCATGTACTTGTTACGTTTACCTGTTATTTTCCCTGACCGGAACTTTCCATGTACTTGTTACGTTTAGGTGTTATTTTCCCTGACCGGGGATTTGCCATGTACTTGCTACGTTTACGTGTTATTTTACCTGACCAGACATTTTCCATGTACTTGTTACGTTTACGTGTTATTTCCCCTGACCGGACACTTTCCATGTACTTGTTACGTTTACGTGTTATTTTCCCTGACCGGAGATTTGCCATGTACTTGTTACGTTTACGTGTAATTTTCCCTGACCGGAGATTTTCCATGTTCTTGTTACGTTTACGTGTTATTTTCCCTGAACGGACATTTTCCATGTACTTGTTACGTTTACTTGTTATTTCCCCTGACCGGACACTTTCCATGTACTTGTTACGTTTAGGTGTTATTTTCCCTGACCGGGGATTTTCCATGTACTTGTTACGTTTACGTGTTATTTTCCCTGACCGGGGATTTGCCATGTACTTGTTACGTTTACGTGTTATTTTACCTGACCGGACATTTTCCATGTACTTGTTACGTTTACTTGTAATTTCCCTGACCGGAGATTTTCCATGTACTTGTAACGTTTACGTGTTATTTTCCCTGACCGGAGATTTTCCATGTACTTGTTACGTTTACGTGTTATTTTCCCTGACCGGAGATTTTCCATGCACTTATAACGTTTACCTGTTATTTTACCTGACCGGACACTTTCCATGCACTTGTAACGTGAACCTGTTATTTTACCTGACCGGACACTTTTTACGAACTTGTAACGTTAACGTGTTATTTCCCCTGACCGGAGATTTTCCATGTACTTGTAACGTTTACCTGTTATTTTCCATGACCGGAGATTTTCCACGTACTTGTTACGTTTACGTGTTATTTTCCCTGAACGGACATTTTCCATGTACTTGTTACGTTTACGTGTTATTTTTCCTGACCGGACGTTTTCCATGTACTTGTTACGTTGAGGTGTTATTTTACCTGACCGGACACTGGAGATTTTCCATGTACTTGTTACGTTTACCTGTTATTTTCCCTGACCGGACATTTTCCATGACGTTTACGTGTTATTTTACCTTACCGGACACTTTCCATGTACTTGTTACGTTTACATGTAATTTTCCCTGACCGGCGATTTTCCATGTACTTGTAACGTTTTCCTGTTATTTTCCCTGACTTGAGATTTTCCATGTACTTGTTACTTTTACTTGTAATTTCCCTGACCGGAGATTTTCCATGTACTTGTTACGTTTACGTGTTATTTTCCCTGACCGGAGATTTTCCATGTACTTGTAACGTTTACCTGTTATTTTCCCTGACCGGAGATTTTCCATTTACTTGTTACGTTTACGTGTTATTTTCCCTGACCGGACACTTTTTACGAACTTGTAACGTTAACGTGTTATTTCCCCTGACCGGACACTTGCCATGTACTTGTAACGTTTACCTGTTATTGAATGCTGTGTACAGCATTCATAGCGGTCCTCGCAAAGCCTGGCCAAATCAAAACCAAACAACAGACTTTCTTCTTCCGCGGAAGATCATTTAATGCTGTGTTGATTATTTCATGGTATGATTAATGCTATAAAATGATGAAATACATATGAAAACGATCAATAAATCAAAGAAAAAATGTTATAATTTTACGAAAAGGCGAGTTTTTTCAGTGGGCATCATGAACTATATCAATCTCAGATGACTACGCTTTTTGGACCGAATAATTTCTCAACAAAAAACCCAAACAACACTTTATCTCCTTCCGCGAAAGATCTTTAGATAATGTATTCATTATTTCATGATATGATCAATGCTATAATATGGTACAATATATCTGTATAAGACAAAAGAATCAAAGAAAGTATGTAAAGATCTTTAACAGTGGCGCTTTTAATCAGTGAAAGTTCCGAACTATATTTGGTTCAAATTATTACGCCTCGTATTCCAATACTCGAAAGTGTGTGTAAGAGTTTTCTCCCCTGATCCATCATTGCGTTGTTTCATGCTCGCGACTAGTTGAACGACTGTTTGATAACTATCCTCGATAAAGTAGGCTTCATGTTTTCTTTGTCTCATTGGAAAGTTTCCAAGTGAAAGAGAATGTTGACTTACACTAAAGTAGCCGTCAGCAACTGTGCCTAACGAGTTTGTAGATAGCTTCCCAATACAGTCTCTAGATAATGGCCCGATTAGTATACAGTAATACAAGTGCCTCGTGAATATAGCATATTGAACATCAAAAACTAAAACCGTATATACATATCATTCACATTAACCAGAAACTGAATAATTATATAGGTCTTTAACCTTCGTTACAATATCGAGAGAAGGAGAGATACACAAGGGACTTGCATAAGTCCGTGATTACACGTACTGGGAATAATACAATCTCGTTTTTATTTTTTGTATAATTAATCATGATAATACAAATTGTAATAATAATGTCATAATTATTTATTTATAGTATCTATATAGCATTTTGTTTATTTTTTATTTAATCGTAATTAAATTCACTTTCCCATAATTGGATTGCAGGGTTGTCTGGTCAAGGTCACTGTTACTATTTTTAAAAAGATCATTGTCTGCGCTGTAGCAGCTTCATTCCTTGAAGGATTTCCATCGAATTGAAACACTAATTATGGACCATAATAACAGACAAGTTTCAATTGTTTTAGCAATATTCTGCCTATTATATATATTTATATCGAAAATTATGATTAAGGGATGGACTTTTATGACCCATACTCAACAACATGTTCTTTATTATTTACTGCCATATGTATTCTGTACTGTTATTCCACCTCCTTTATTCCATTAACTGAATCCTCCATCCACAACAACCCTGAGTGTCCTCGGCACTTTGATTTTACCTGACCAGACACTTTCCATGTACATGTACTTGTTAAGTTTACGTGTTGTTTTCCCTGACCGGACACTATCCATGTACTTGTAACGTTTACGTGTAAGTTTTCCTGTCAAGACACTTCACGTGTATTTTGTAATCGTTAAGTTTTTCCTTACAGAAAATTTTACGTGTATCCAGATGGACGTTCACCTGGTCCGGTATCTTGGTTTCTTCATGATTCAGGTCTACGTCCCTACTACTCTGATAGTGCTGCTGTCGTGGGTATCGTTCTGGCTAAGTATAGACGACGTGCCTGCCCGGGTATCTCTGGGTATTCTTACCGTTCTCACCATTACCACACAGAAAACCAGCTCCGCGGCCGCTGTGCCGCAAGTGTCTTATGTCAAAGCCCTAGACGTCTGGATGGCCATATGTCTTCTCTTTGTCTTTGTTGCTTTCCTGGAATATCCATGTGTGTATGTCCTAAAGAATCGAGAAGTACACATTCGGCAAAAGAAATCTGGCAGGCTAAGAGCAGCCGGCGTCACTGCCTCAGCTGTAAGTATACTAAATTGTATAACGTAAATAGACATCTAAGAGTTTTCTTAATGTGTTTTATAGAATTAAAAAATCATTCGAGAGTTTTTGAAACCTGACGGTAAAAATGTAATAGGATGTTTAGTTTGTTTGTGTTTACGTGCCGGGTTTTAATGGTGAAGGAAAGCCGGAGTTTCCGGAGAACAAACACCGACCTACAGCCAGTACCTGGCGACTGCCCAACGTAGGTCTCGAACCCGCGACCCAGTGGTGGAGGGCTAGTGGTAGCAGAATATCATACGTCTTAACCACTTGGCCACCGCGGCCCCAGGTGCAATAGGAAACGGGTCTTGGCTCGAGATTTAACCAGTGACTGTATACTATATATGTTATTATGTTTTTAGTTATATTGATGAGATAGATGTAACATTTATTGTTTTCTTTATTACAGATGGGGTTGACTCTTATTTCTTTGGCATTTGAATGACATCTGATTTTTACCATTAATTTGTTACTCATATATAGGTTATGCTAACGTCACTGTACCCTAATCGGGACACTTTTTAGTTAAATATCAATATTCTTTATACCATACTATCAGTTCGTTCGTTCATTTTTCATAAATAGAAACTATTCAATTTTCATTTTTATTACAATTTGATATTTCGGGCGCGTGGTTTTATAAAATGAACGCGAAAGACCATCAGAGTTACGTAGGCCTTTTAACCGGCGTTACTGTGACCTGAAAGGGACACTTCCGATATTTTGGTGATAAACGATCTATATCGGCAGAAATATGCCTATTTGAAATATTTGTTCTGGTAATTGTTCTTACCTTTAAATTCTCCATGTATCTTTAATCAGCAGCCAATAAATCTTTATACAGTTTAATTGTCATGAAAAGTATTATCAAATGAAAACTGTATACATAAAAATACTTCTTTGCATTGAATGACAGTTTATTGGGCCGTTTTCCCACAAGAGTCCCGTTTTGGGTACTGTCCCAATTTGGGTACCGTGACGGTAGCGTTGTAGCCCTTGTGTCATGACTTGTGCAAAATAACTACCAGTTTATCATGGTGAATTTCATCCTGTGTTTATCCGTAAGATAGCAGTTTGACGTTTAACAAAACAATTGGCATTTCTATTGCGAACAAGTTTTAAGAACACAAAAACACCCAAACAAGTGGTGTTTAATATATAATAAATATACCAAAATAATGATAATAAATATAGCAGTCAGTCCGATGCCCAAAATAATGATAATAATAAATATAGCAGTCGATCCGATGCCCAAAATAATGATAATGATAAATATAGCAGTCAGTCTGACGCCCAAAATAATCATGATAATAAATATAGCAGTCAGTCCGATGCCCAAAATAATGATAATAATAAATATAGCATTCAGTCCGATGCCCAAAATAATGATAATAATAAATATAGCAGTCAATTCGATGCCCAAAATAATGATAATAATAAATATAGCATTCAGTCCGATGCCCAAAATAATGATAATAATAGACACAGCAGTCGATCCGATGCCCAAAATAATGATAATAATAAATAAAGCAGTCAGTCCGATGCCCAAAACAATGATAATAATAAATATAGCAGTCCGTCCGACGCCCAAAATAATGATAATAATAAATATAGCAGTCCGTCCGATGCCCAAAATAATGATAATAATAAATATAGCAGTCAGTCCGACGCCAAAAATAATGATAATAATAAATATAGCAGTCAGTCCGATGCCCAAAATAATGATGATGAAATATATCAGTCAGTCCGATGCCCAAAATAATGATTATTTTAAATATAGCAGTCAGTCCGATGCCCAAAAAAATGATAATAATAAATATAGCAGTCAGTTCGATGCCCTAAATAATGATAATAATAAATATAGCAGTCAGATCGATGCCCCAAATAATGATAATAAAACATAGCAGTCAATTCGATGCCCAAAATAATGATAATAATAACATTTTGGGCGGAAGTCATCAGCGAAAACTTTTTTTTAAATACTGATTTTTCTATCGAATTGACATAAATGTTAAACCTCACTCAGTAACGCCTTTCTTGAAAATCATTATTTGAAGTCTCGTTAAATGATCCAGTACTTGATTAAAAACATGTCATTTTTTATTTTTATCAATACATTGTAATAGGAAAATACACCAAAGATGCTGTGTGATGAACAGGATTGTTTACAATTTCTGTCATATCTCTATATATTTCTTTCTGTCTTGGTTTCAGAACTCAAAGAAGATTGAAGATAACGGGAATTCACACAACGGCAGCATGACGACGGGACGATTTATTGATGACATTTCAAAATTAATATTTCCTGCGATATTTCTTACGATCATTATAATATATTGGGTTGTTTATACTATTTGATATCGGATTCTATATATCTTCCGTATAAAATATAGCATTGCTTATAAACTGGCATCTAAATTTCCTTTGAAGTAGATCCACCATCGTGTGACGTTATGTTCCGAAATAGAATGTTTTGTTACCGCACTAACCTCTAATATCGTATCGAGTTCTTTCTTTCCATATTTTTGTAGTCATTGTTTATAGATGTACATATAATGTGCAAATTATCCAGCTTTACATATTTTCGTTTGTTTTTGATTTTTGTTTTGCTAAATTTGTACAATTCAAGATATGTGATCAATTGCATGATTTCGGGAAATCATCAGTAATGTCACTATGTTGTCCAAGTCATTAATGGGTTTGATTAAATATAACTAAAGTATAAATGGTGTGTATCATTTATTTTCAAGAAAAGTTTGATGAAGGATTGATATCATTGGAGATATGAGGTTCAACCCAAGGAAATGTAGCCTCATGGACCATGTCTTGTAGATACAAAAATATACACTGATTTAAAACGTTTTAAGGGTAGCATATACAGTATATAAAAGCAATACAATTATCCTTACTGACGAAGAAATAGTATAAAAAGATTAAAATATTTCAACAGTGAGTCTTTAGTACTTTCATCTCTTCAAGCAGATTCTTAAGTACTTGACTCTTTCCCCCCCCCCCTCTCTCTCTCTCAACTCCCCCCTCTCTCTCGCTATATAGATATATGTTACGTTTCAAGTTCTTTGTACATAATGTCAACTATATAGAAGAAATGAATGATCAGTTTCACTCATAAATATCGAGGGAGGACTCCTATAATGAGTTACAGTCATTTTCATTCTCCTGACAGACTTCTTTAGAACTTCACAAATGGTTGAACATCTTTGAATATTTATTGCGTATGTCTATTCGGTTTTAAACACCCTTTTGGAGTAATAGTCGCCGAGAAAACTTATTAAATGAGCAGAAATGTATCTTTCTTCCTTGCCTTGGTGCAAAGCAATTGCTTCTAAGATACTGAAGCCTGAGTCTGCATTAGTACCGCATAACTAGTTTGGAAAATAAAACGGGTAGTGTTTTATTGACTTTTACCATAGACGCTGTTTCAATGATATGATATCAAGAACAAAAAGAAAGGTTTGCATCATCCTCATGGATGGAGGACTACCTGAAATTATTTAAGGAAAGTGTTATAAATAATGCACTATAGTATACAAATATAAAACAATGTCAATCCATTAAAAGGAAAAGCAGATAAGAACAAAAACTAGGAGTTGTGGAGACACATACATTGTAGCAAAAGCAGGAAGGTGACACCAATCGCTCTTAAAGTTATTATGTTCCCATAAACAGAACACGCGTATACCGAAGTGAACACTAAACGTTGAATTATATAAACCTCATTTCCATATATATAATGTAGGGCACAAAGATCTGATGATTGCACGAAGGGAACCACTTGTATGAGATTAACTATAAAATGTGGATCTACATCTTAGATTGATCCATGTAAGGCAAAAAAGCTTCAATAGCTTCACGTGTCATATGCAATATGTTTACCTGGACGCTTTTCATTAATCTTAATAGGTAAATTAGGAAACCATGTTTTTTTTTAACTGAGATCGGATAACTTTAACACTTGGTGGTGGTATGCTCCGCTGTTAATTTGATCCCTCTCCCATTGCACTGTGAATTTTTTAGTAACCATCTCTTAACTTCCGCTTTCATATTACATTTCCGTCGAACAGGTAGCTCAATCGGTTAGAGCGATATAATACCAATCTGAAGACCGGGGTTCGAATCCCGGGCCCGTATTCATGAAACTGTTCTCATGCTCAAGCATGGATTCTGTGCTCAAACCAGCTGTATGTAACTCACTTAAATCATGTCAAACGATACAAAAGTCAAATGTTAACATTGAAAACACATTTCATCTTTAAGTCTCTATATTTTTCTGCCAAATCATTGACAATTTTTTTTTTTTAAATGATTTATAACCTGAACAAGAAATTAGGCTTGAGCACAAAATCCATGATTGAGCATGAGAACGGTTTCATAAATACGGGCCCTGATGCAAAAATGTGCTGAAATTGGTCATGGCTGGGTACCTCGCTTTTATGTAAATGCCAAGGAACCTGTCTACGTCAGGTTATATAAATTAAACTACATAACTGCTGAGCGATGGTCGTGTTCAGAGGGACAATCTCAAGAATATATTAACGTCTAGGGTAGTGTGACTAGTTAGTAATAAGATACATGTAGGACGACTGTACTGGGCGATGTCGTAGTAAATCTGCCTTCTTGGTGTTAAGTCTGTCAGAAGCACACAATATGATCGTGTACTAGTAACATTGTCCTATACACAGGTCATCCAATGCTGCCGTCCCCGTGATTCAGAATACAACCTTATATGAATGTTCAGTAAATTAAAATGGTAATGTGTTAAGCATATCACGATTAGCTTCTTTGTGAGTATATACCAGCCGTTCCTTACTCAACGATCCTAACACAGATATACTCGGAGTTATATCACAGCAGAGAAGGTAACTTTATTTACAGAAAATTATACGTCCATTCACTATCACAACCTGGATTATTGAAATAATTTTCTTGTGTTTTAGTGATGTCGCGTATATCGCTAAAAAATATGTTATCGATGAATTTATATATATATATATTTATTAATTCTATATCAATTGCAACTGAAAGCAGTTCAATTTCAATATTTATATTGTAATTATTTAATATAAACATTTTAACCATGGGAGATGAATAATTCAATTTCAAGCTTTTTGAGAGATTTTGGCCTTGTTTGTCGACAAAATAATACAGTGCATATTTGATGTTATTTACGCGAATTGTTATGTTTAATCATTATATGACATTTTATTGAGCATCTTATCATTCTAGAAGATGCCACTATAAGTATAGCAATACATACATAGGTAATCCATCTGACCAATACAACGGTGATTTTACAGTGGCTACCTTATCAAAGTTGTATGTGTTCTTGATTATGATGTATCGATAAGAATATATTATCAATAAAAATAGATTTATTTATTCTGTATAAATGACAAATGAAAGTAGTTTATTATTAATATTTATATTGTAGCTTTAAATATATTTAGTCTATGCAATATTCAATTTCCTCCTATAAACCGCTTATAAATGTAATACAACAGCCAGCAAGTAACACATGCTTTCAAACTGTAGAGGAATTGCTTTTGAATAGACTTTGAGGTAAGATTTTGGCTCTGTGTACTGACAAAGTGATACGGTATATATTTGGTTCGGATTTTGATGTTTAGCTACATGTTTTACGGAAAAAGGATCACCATGTTATACTTATTATTAATCACTATACCACATTGTTGTAGGGAAACTATTCAATCAAGGAGAAAGCACTGTAAGTTGCTGAAATTAGTCATATAAACAATACAATATGAGGATTTACCAGTAGCTAGCTTATCAAGCGCAAAATTCTTGTTTATGTCACCTGGCTAACTACCTCCACATGTTTGCTTGCATGTGTGTGAACTACATGCAATTAATTGGACTGTTCTGGTACCACCTTAACCAAATTTTATATATAAAAACACTGCACCAGTTATCCTATACCAGGTTATACCCCAATCCGGTCATTGGAGTTGTTTCAGAAGAGAAAATTAATTCCCTCGAGATTAAAGTCTATGAGATTGAAACCTTCTGCCCCTTTTAAGCTGGGATGTAAAGAATGTTCGCCTATCGGCCAGATCCCTGTGACACCGTTATCGCATTATTTTATTTAGTTGGCCCTTGATAAACTGGTTCAATTGTTACAGGACTTGTAAAATGTAGTCATGGCAAGAAGTGATATGGAAAAGAACGCATGCACACACAATATATTCATTAATTGGTATAATTATTTTGACTTTTGGTGATAATTCGGACAAGGAAAGGATTAAGGGTCAAACAGACCTGCATTATTATATTGAACTTGCCTGTATTTTGTAATAAATATAATGCTATTTTTGTAATTACATGTATATCGATTGAGTTGCCTTAAATATATCTTGTAATTTTCAAATTGCCGTTAAGATATTAAATTTTCATAATGTTGAGCATATCCTATAACCGTATATAGATAATTATAAGATACAAACACATTGTCCTGGCTGTGACATTTCGTCATCTTACCCATTTATGATGCAGCGTTTGTTATCTCAAAATAAACAGAATACATCCCATTAAATACAAATATATATTATTGTTCTGGATTCCGATTATTCAATTTAAAACTTATATTTCCGATATATAAAGCTTTGATTTGTGTTCTTTCTGTATATTACTATAGTGTATTCCACTCACTGAACTCTTCAGTTTTCTATCTTTACTGATCTTATTCATAAATGTGAGCCATATTGATTTTACTCCCAGACGATTTCACCCTGTTATCTAAGACCATAAAACAAACTTGCTAACCATAACGATTCCATATCGTCCAAATAAATACGATTTAAAGTTTCATTTCCATTTCCATTGCATATACAAGGGAGTAAGCGTTTCATGTAAGAGGTTTCGCGTTTTCAGTGTGTTTATAACATGGCTAGGTGTCATGTAATACACCGATAACGACCCCCAGGACAGGTAGCGATACCTGTGCTGGTGCACGTTTCCCTCTCCCAATCCATGCACCTACTCTTTTAGGTGGTTCGTTGGTTCAATCATTTGATTATCGCTACCTTTATCATGTTTTCCTTCCATTGTTTTTTTTCGTTCGTTCAGACAGACACTGTAAGTCACCACGGCTCTGTTAACTCTCTGGCTCGTTTATACTTTCCTTTGCTCAGGAATACACTGTCAGTCACCACGGCTCTGTTCGCTCTCTGGCTCGTTTATTCTTTCGTTCGTTCAGACATACACTGTAAATCACCACCGGCTGGTTTGTACTTTCGTTTTTTCAGGAATACACTGTAAGTCACCACGGCTCTGTTAACTCTCTGGCTCGTTTATACTTTCGTTCGTTAAGACAGACACTGTAAGTCACCACGCCTCTGTTCACTCTTTGGCTCGTTTATACTTTCGTTCGTTCAGACAGACACTGTAAGTCACCAAGGCTCTGTTCACTCTCCGACTGGTTATACTTTCGTTTGTTCAGGAATACACTGTCAGTCACCACGGCTCTGTTCGCTCTACGGCTCGTTTACATTTTACTGGCTTCTCCTTATTAAAACTTACTCCGATATCATATTGTGTTTTTCCAATAAAAAAACGCTACGAAAAATAATAAACTCTTGATATGTAAATTACACTAAGCATACATTCATTGATGTGACCAAACTAGTGATCCTTTCTTTCTAACCTGTAACCATTAGCTGGGTCAATTGTGATAGAAGCCCTATATTTATAACCCGTGGCTACTATCATGTCATTAGTACTTAGCTATCCATTCCTTATGATCTGTGACTCGTTAAGCTGGGTAAAAAGGGATAAGCTTCTTTATACTTCTAACACGTGATTAGACTATCTAGGTCATGAGTTAAAAGCTTCATATACCAAGATTTCTAGTTTCAAGATTTTTTGTTAACACTCAGACACATAACATGTGTTACATGAGGAAATAAAGTTGCAGATATGGCAAGAATGGACAGTTCAATTTAGAACCGGTACGGTATAGTAACATGATATGACATACAATGGAAAATACAAAGCAAACATAAATAAACATACATGTAATTCCTAAGTTATTTAACTATTAACAGTTATACATATGCATCAGCGACAAAAGAGGAGCCATTTTGGTTAGGAAAATAGATATTCCTGTCAGAACTCGTTGATTGCATAATAATAAAATACCTTTAAACTTGTAAATATTTGGGTTTGTACAATAATAACGAGGAATATATTTGTTACGTAAGGTGGATATAGTTATACTATTGCATTCAAATAGATAATGAAATTCATCCCCGACACTTTCCGCGCACACATTACATAGTCGATTAGCTCGATTTCAATTGGAAACTTCAAGTTCGAAGTGCGCAGTTTTGTTATTGGTGTTTTGATATGATCTGGCAAATTTATTAAATATTTTTCTAGACCAAATTCTATTTCAAATAAAGTGCGGTACATGTACTGCCAACGAGATGAGCTAGTAATGGCATCGAACCATTGCTGTACAAAGTGATCAATAAGCCGTTGTTTTAAAATGCATTTGTAAAATACATCAGGCATCTGTAATTTATTGTCAAATATATAAGAAAATCCCGTTTCGTTGAAGATACCTTTTATATAGTTTAACCCATTTGAGTATCAGTAGCATAGCTTTGCATATGTAAAGTTAGTCGTAGTAATATGGTGCTGGCTTTGTTTTCATTACTAATTATTCTATTCCAAAAACCTAACATTCTTAGTTTAACATTTATTTCCAATGACACACGGCCTAGCTCGTCATAAATCATAAAATTACGCTTTGTAGATCTCACTTTGAGAATTCTTTTACAAAAGTTAAGATGAATCTGTTCGATCATTTTCAGATTTTTGAATCCCCATGCATCCGATCTATATAATATAATCGGTTTCTACTAAAGAATCATTTTTTTTTAATTGTAAACCTATAGGACGAGAAAGGTTCCTGATGTTTTAGTATATACATGTAGCAAATATTGACTTTTGAGCCTGGTTGATCAATCTGCGTCTTGCGTTTACAAAATTGTCATTGTAATTAAATGTACCCGTGGTGCGATATGGTTAAATCCCCTTATACTTCCAGTACAGGACATTTAGGATATTTTAGAGATGTTTTACTACAACATCACACTTACATATGAATTTGAACAACCTGCATTTGCATAATTCAGGACTCTAAACCTGAATATTTGTTTCTCAGGTAAATGTTACAGACATGACCGATACCAGCCGCTATCCTCCAGGTATGTACGTACATCTGAGTATCATAAACAGAACACGGACGTCATCCTCTAAGTATGCTCAAACTTTAACCTAAACCTGGGTGTTATTTGTCTCAGGGTTCTTCTGCTGCAATAACGAAGAGTCGCTTGTATCCCCTAGGTTTGCTCCCTACATGACTAGTTCTTGCATCATCGTTTTTATTTTATTTTTCAATGTTCAATGTTCGTTATGACTTAAGCCTAACGGCCAATAAGTTGCAAATACAGACATAAATATGGACAATATATATTAACAAACGGAGAGAGAATCATAGCGGTTTATTTACATTCTTAATTTAAAACTTTTTAACATAATTAACCCTCCAGTCCAATTTTTCTTTTCTTAAATGCAAACTGTACAAATTGTCCCATTTTATTTAGTTCCGTAACATTGTTTACATTTAATAGTTGAACGAGCATGAATTCACTAGGTTTTCGATTTTAATATTTATCGAATATTAATTATATTTATTGACGTAAATATGATTCGATTTATTTAACGAATCCATTTTAAATCTTAAGTTATTTTAAAAAGAAGTTTTTGCTTTAAAGAATAACTTTATTTTTGAAAAAGTCTAATTAATGAAATGGCCCAATGGTGCTGAATATATACCTATTGTTTGGGAGGGGGGATTGGTATCATTATGGAAACATTTGTAATATTTTCATAGTTCCATTTCATTAACATATTACACTTATATTGCCTAACCAAAACGCTTAACCTTGACAATAAAGATTTGAACTCTCTCGAATACTTCTATATTTCAAACTGTTGAAAGGTTAGAGTCTCCATACACACATATTTACTTTTGTTCTGCAACCCACTATATGAACATTGTCTACGGAAATGCATTTAATTTGAGTATCAAATCAAAAACTCTCGTAAAGTTACACGTGGTTTATATATGACGTCATGGTACTTTAATCAATGGGGGTCTTGTCGCTTCGCTTCGGATAACACGGATAATGCCCCTGTGCCAAACACTCGAATGACTACGGTTAATTATTGGCGTAAATTTTATTTAAATTGGGCTGTTCCGCAAATGTCGTTTACAGGACGACACATGTTCAAAACGCAGTTAATACATTAATTAAAAACAATTAAATCAAATCAAACAATTATTCTATAGTACAAATATAAATGTATGGATTGAACGGCGTTTTTTAAATTTTCATGCCGGTATGAACGCAAATCGATTAACGTTAGTGCAGGCAAATTCGCCATGCACTCAAATTCGCCACCCTGTGACGAAAATGCCATATGACGTCATAATACATACAGTTAAAACCTTCAAATATTTTAACAAGAAGAGGTAAAAGAAAGGAAAAGTTATACTTTTAATCAAAACAGTTATGAAATATCTTGTAACACAACGAATCGTTAAAAGCCCTGGACCCTCTCATTCGGACCCGATGAAAAATATAATATTAGACAGCGATTTGGAATGTCATATTTGTTAAGGACTCAGCCTTTATTGCGTATCATGTAAATTGACATCATCTCAGCCGATACCAGCCATCTTTCTCAAACAACATTAATCAGTTTCTTCAAGATACCGAAAACTAACTATCAGAACTACGAAAAGCCGTGTATTTCAATGTTAATCTTTGTTACACACACACACATTTGGAGCTGTTCGTATCAGTACGACTTGTATAACATAAACATACAAAGGTTTATATTCAAGCACTTATATTACTTGTAAATGAGTTAAATGTTTGAAGGCGGCGAAACTGCCTGCGCCTTTGAGCAAAACCACGGAAGGCCTGATGACGTCACAAATGTTGTTGCGTGGCGTCATTAAGGCGTGTGTACAACAATATTTATTTATAGGCATTTCAGTCAAATCTTCTTCTGTACTTGTGCTCGTCTGCATTTTTTTTCAAATATCTTTTTTCCCCCAGCCAAATATTATATATATATATAATACTGATATATTATATCACTATAATATATTATATCACTATAATAATGATAAGTATATACAGATATATATAAATAAATTGATAGGAACTGCCAGGGTTGGGGAGCCCTGGAGTCAGTCCCCTAAACAACATGGTGTCCTCACACAGGAGGTCTCTTATTCATTTTTCTCTGCTAATTATATCTAAATTCAAATATTTCAATTTTATCACATTTTTTATCAATATAACATTCAGAAATTTGATTGGGAAATAAAACATTTGTACATAGAGTATTGGACATCTACAGAACAAGAGCAACCTACCACATTTCACACACAGCACACACATCCAGACGTGTATACATATACAACAGTATCATAATCACTAAACATAAACAAAACACTTATACACACACATATACATACACATATACATACGTACATAACATACACTCCCACATCCGTACATACATACATACATACACATGCACGTACATACACACCAATATCAGCAAGTATGCATGCACTTACATACATACACATGTACACGAACATACATGCCCATTATTGTATTAATTTGCATGTATCCATATAAGCACCAGAAAATACATATAATGTTCATGCACTCTACTTACCCGTTTTGTGTTTGTTTTTCGTACGGTTTTGGACGAATAATTAACCGAAACCCTCACTAATGTGATGAATTTGCCTGCACTATCGTTACATCCATATTAAACATGAAGCCCTAGCGGGCATCATGCAATATGGATGTAACTGATTTACGTTCATACCGGCATTTAATTACAAAAACGTCGGTCAATCCATATCTGTAATAAAACATTAGTAGAGAGTTGGTAAGAAAGGCGATCAAGGCATTTACGTCTGGGAGTTTCATACTTATGACAATGTTTTAGAAAATGTTTGTTTGTTTCAAACGAAGCAAAGCAAGAATAGATTGGACTCTCGACAAGATTGTTCTGGAAGAGATAGTTGTTCAAAGAACTACTTTTATGCGTAGCCTAGCATGATGGATCTGACCAATACGAGAACCGTTATTATATTTTAATAAGGAGGAGCAACAACAAATTCAAATAGGTCTAAAATTAAGGGAACGAAGGACAATTGTTTTATATTTCTGGCGATTGATTCCATGTACAATGCCAGCAGGGAGAAACAACTGTTGATATGTAGTTATTTTAAGCTACTTTTTTAGGATTCTAGAACAATTATAAGATCTGGTTTCCATATTTTTCTAACGAATGTCTCTGAGTTCCCCTTTCAGTGCTTTTAAATATTGTTGCTGAATATTTAAACTCAAACTGAAAATTTACGTAATATCAACGTATAAAGGGTTTGTCAAATTTTAGTGGAGATCCCAGACACAGATATTATCAGTCTGCCTATTCCAAGCGGAGGTTATCGACAGTTCGTTTGTCGGAGAGGAGTTTACCTGTTGGCGGACAACATTCGCCATGGCCTTGTGCCTGATTGGCGGGATAACTCGGCCGCAGTGTCGGATATGAGCTGTAGAGACGACGACGTGTTCGTGTGTGCCTTCCCAAAAGCAGGTAAACATTGTACCCGTAAAGGAAAATGTAGATTGTTTGTGTGACGTGACAGTCAGATGTATGTCAAGCAAATCCGAACAATTAAAAAAAACCAGCATTTGTGTGAAAATGTGTTTGCCAATCTTATTTATAAAAAAATGTTGATAAAAGTGCATAATAAGGGTAAGAAATAACACTGACAGGTCAGATGGCCATACTAGCATGCAATTACTTCCTTAATTATCTTGATACAAATTGACTATATTTGTCCATTACACAATACAGTCATGTCATTGAACATAAAACATTGTTTGTCAATCATGTTATTTATTTCATTAATACTTGTAAAGAAAAAAGTTTGAGTGACTTTCTGCGGGGTAGTTGCACCAATGACGCACATGTTCACAATGCAAACGGTCTCTGCTGATATTCTGTTTTACCGCTTTTCAACTGACGTCTTCAAAACTCTTGTATCTAGGGTGTTCAAACTAATCGAGACGTCAACATTACGCGATATTTTTCAAAATCTCCAAAAATATATAAAAAGTTATTGTACAGCAAAAACATACAGTACCATCAGACAATTAGTCATGATACATGTATTTTGGAACTATGTTTGCTTCCGCTATTAATTTGTGCATGCGTTTCACAATACCCAATTCTTTACGAAGCATCGTTTACAAAAGTAGGGATAACTTGAGGAATATTTTGAACAGTTCCTTTGACAGATATGACATATATGACAGAACATGCATATTAAGATATTCTTTGACATCAGGACAAGTGTTTCTACACCTACTGTGATTCCTGAAGAGGGATGAGTAGGTCTCTGCCCTTTATTATGCTACTTTGACGCAGCTTTTCATATGATATGATTTTACAAACTACATACAATATAATAAAAGCAAGTGACAGTGTTGACTAAGTTATATGGTTCTAAAATGGCACTAGATTTTATCTTAATAAATTTACATGCTTACATAAATGTTGCAAATATTTAACATTTATGACACGTTACTTAAAAACATAATTATAAACCATTTATGTTTATAAATAGATCAATTCGGTTCAGTTGCGTGAATGCGTATTAGTTACTGCCTCAAAAGTCAACGTCAACTCATTAATCCCTGAAGACACATTTTAACTCTTCCAATTCAAAGCTTGGACTAGTTTATTATGAAATGTCAGTGGTATGAATTAACACATAAACGACTGCAACAATTATGAGTTAATGTTTGGCATTTCGAGGTACTCACTGGATTTGGGAGATAGCCACGATGCTGTTGCATGGACGGTCGGAATATACCCCTGTCTCAAAGGTTACATCCATGTTAGAGTTTAATACGCCATCGGAGTTAGACAGACTGACGTCGCCACGTGTGTTGAATTCACACCTGCCTTACAAACTCTTACCCTCTGAAGCTGTCCGCAAGGGAGCGAAGATAATCTTCGTTCAGAGGAACCCGAAAGACATTGCAGTTTCATTCTTTAACATGGTCAGTCAGAAGAAAATATCGTTCGCCGGGAATTTCAATGATTGGATCCAACTATTTTTGCTCCAACCTGGTAAGTTGTGGGTATTTTCTAGTGTCACTGGCGTGTAGTAGTACCATCATGATTCCTCTTACTCCGTCAAATCACGACTTCCAACTTATACACAAATAAAGATAATTAAAAACAAATAAATGTGGTTGGTGCAGAGGAATAGGCCTTTTTCTAACCTCGGCCATTGTGTAGTGAAAGGTTGGTGTCCATGTTCTATTTATTATTGTTATCCCACAGGTTACCCGAAGAACTGGTTCGACTACACGCTTGAATGGGAGCAAGTGATGAAGGAAGAACGACGTTTGAATCTACACATGATCTATTATGAAAATTTGAAGCGGGTAGGGTTAACTATATGTGTTTTTATGTGTACAGAGAAAAATGTAAAAATTGACATAAATCAAGTCAATTGTAGATAAAAATTGTTGTCGACAAAAGAATACGTAACAGTTTCCACCAACGTTTTCACTGTATTATATCCTATGATGCATAGTGATAGTACGCTTATAGTGTGACGTCATATATCGTCCATCTCATCTATTGATGAAGTCTTATTACTATGAGGGTCATACATGTGATTCTATAATAAATATATCATATAGATAAATATTTGAGATAGATTTTCTCTTTTTTTTTTTTAGCAGGAACTGCTTTTTTCATTTGTCTTCATATAACACATATTATATACATCAAGGGAGATAACAGCAGTGACGAATAGTATCACTTTTTGAAAGTTAAGTCCACTGTTAATGCAGGCATAGTGCTACTATGTCATGCTCTTTTAATTTCAAGAGGACATACCAGTTATAAAGGCAATGGAAATTTCACTTAACTGTATCACTAGATTACACTCTGTAATTTCGTAGGTACTTCAATTGTAGGACTCTAAATTAATCACTGACTTTAATTAAACACAGAACCCGATAGAGGAAATAGCCAGGTTGTCACGGTTCCTTGGGAGCTCCACAGACAGAACGTTTATCGGTGAGGTAGCAAACAAATGTAGCTTCAGGAATCTAAGGAAAGCCAATTCAGATGTAAAGGATCTGTCAGTATTGCAAGGAGAGAAGACTATGTTCGATAGCGTGTTTCGCAAAGGTTAGACATTGCAAAGTTTTTTTAATTTTGATCTTACATTATACTTTTGACCTATGATTTTTAAAATTTCTTTTAAAATTGATTTTAAATTGTTATATGGTGTAAAGTATTACACTTTGAATGATTAAAAACATCTATTAGACAGGTGACCGTACATTATCTCTATAGTGATATATGGGATATATGTACCTTAACATTTCAGTAAAATGTAAATATGTATCGACGCACTACTTGTTATGTTAATCAGCTGGGAATAGTATTTGCCAGAGAGCTACTCGGGTCTTGGACTGTTGTTTGTTTAGTTATATTTCCGTAATATGTAAATAAAGTCTTATTTTTTCTTGCAGGAGAAATTGGAGATTGGAAGAGTTGGTTTACTGTGGCACAGAATGAACTTTTCGATAAAGTGTACAGAGAAAGGATGAAGAACTGTAGCTTTGTGTATCAGTACAACGGTTGATGTGAACATTACGAACGGTTTGATGCGGTATGACTGTAGACTTGCTTATCTATACACAGCTGTATGTAGACGATGTCAACTGTTGGATTATAGTATACAGAGAAATAGCTTCGTCTACAACGGCTTAATAAATGTGAACAATAACTGCTTGCTTATATTTTATAGACATTTTAATTTGTTTGAAGAAATAATGGATTTTTTCGAAATCATGTGTTACTCAGATCAAGAATTAGTAAAAAAAGTTTTTATACAAATTTTTCAGAATATGAATAAAAAATTGCGTCCACTTCCTAAAAAAAGAGCTAATTTTTCGCCAATCACAAATGTTTTGGTGTTATTTTTTTGGAGAATTGATGAGACATTAAGCAAACAGAGCTTCACAGCATGGAGATAGTTTTAATCACTTGACAGATACATGTATAATTATATAGAAGGTATTGGGAGGAGGTCAAGAGGCAGCACATGAACTTTTAAGATCGTCAGCACAATATTTAGTGATGTCACGTGATGGCCTGAGTGAGTAGCAGTGACCGTTTGTGCGTGGGAAAATTATTCTAATATTATACAATTCTAGTGGACTGACGCAAATACTTCTTGACAAGTAAGTCAATATCGCATATATCTACAAGTATGTGTATAGTAAATGTCGTGAAACCTTGCATTAACTTGTATATTTGAAACATTTATATCCGTGAGTACATGTACACGTACACAGGTGTGTCCGTGCTATTGTGCTATATATAGACTGTCACTTGAAAAACCTGCATGGCCAGTAACCGAATTCCCCATTCTAAAGTGCCAACAGACATTATAACAGCCGAACAAGCTGTGGTCTTTTCTTCTCCAGTCAATGCCGATAATATTTTGAAACGGAAAACATTGTGTAGTCCTATTTCGCCTTTAGAACTTTACGACACTGAGTGTAAGCGGCCCACCATGAATTCTCCAGTGTCCTCATCAGACCTTATCCAGTACTTGAATGCCCCACCATTTACCTCCTCAACTACTAGTACTGCTGTGAATCATTCAGATCATCCTTCTGGAAATACAGCCAGTACATCCAGTACGACTGACCCGTCTATATCTACAATGATTGAAGCCATACTTAACTCTGAGCCTTTTCTCAAAAACTTCGCTGACAAAATAGCGCCAACTATTGCTAACACTGTCTTCAACATGCTAGACAATATGATAACTGCAAAACTGAAACCATTGATCGAACAGACTGTTGATACTAGTCTCCGTAATTCTAGTCTGCTCCGTGAAACGGTTGACCAGCACGTGAAAACGGCCGTACATCCCCTGGTAAATGTTATAAAACAACAGGAATCTGATATAAAGTCACTTCAAAGTCGGGTCCAGGAAGCAGAAACCTCCCTCGAGGAACAACAGCAATACTCCAGGCGTACTGCTTTGAAATTTCACAATGTGCCCGTTCCCGAAGGAAATGTGTCAAATCTAAACACTCACCGTGTAGTTACTCAGATCGCTAGGGACATTGGCGTGGATCTATCGCCGGATGCCCTGTCCCGCACCCATGTTCTTGGAGGGGTCAAGCAGGGCAAGACCACCGTAATAGCTCGTTTTGTTCGATACACTGATCGCCAACGTATTTTCAGTAACAAGAAGTCCCTCAAAAATCATAAGGACAAGATCTATGTTACAGAGAGCCTTACCAAATTTCGTCAAAATCTCGTCAGTCGCCTAAATAAACTAAGAAAGGACCGTCATATCTTCTCCCTATGGACTGCTGACGGACGCATATTCTATAAAGCTTCAAAGGAGTCCGCGAAAACTCTCGTTCAAACCGCTGCCATGGTGACCGAATTAGAGGAAATGTTTTACCCAGCTGAAACTCAACCAAAGTCATTTTGACATTCAATTTTCCTAATGTATTGACTTGTTTACTATTATATCTCTCACTTGAACATATTAGCGCACCGGTTTAAATGGTGGAATTAATTATGTAATTCCTTTGATTTGGATTGTTGAATGTAGTCATATCTTCATGTAAGTATCGTTGTGTGCCTGTACATGTAAGTGACGTTGTGTATATGTGCATGTTGGTGTCATTGTGTATATGTACATGTGGGTATCGTTGTGTATATGTACATGTGGGTGTCATTGTGTATATGTACATGAGGGTATCGTTGTGTATATGTACATGTGGGTGTCATTGTGTATATGTACATGTGGGTATCGTTGTGTACCTGTGGGTATCGTTGTGTATATGTACATGTGGGTGTAGTTGTGTATATGTACATGTTGATATCGTTGTGTATATGTACATGTAGGTGTCGCTGTGTGTCTGAACAAGTGAGTGTCGTTGGGTATCTTTACATGTCTTTCGTTATGTACTTGTACATACATGTAAGTGTATAGCTAAATATGTAGGTCATATCTATATAGTGTTATGTTGATTCGGGATACATCGGTGTTGTTAGGTAGGCACATATAACAATTATGTAAATACGTTTTGATAATACATTGTATTTATGTATGTTTTGTCGATAAAGAATTTATGAATCTGGTTATATACATAGTATGATCTTGATACTAGTTTTTATGTAAAGTCGCACGGGAGTTATTTCCAACATGGACGGCCTAGTGGAAACTTTTTGTCAGAAAGGAAGGAATGACCAGGAGCAGGATTTCACAGGACGGGATGTCAGTGACATTAGATAAGTTGATGGTTTAGAGAACAGTAGGACAGTGTATCACTTGTGCCGTCTGTATTGGATTGTTTCTCCCTAGACTGTTTTATATTGACAAACTATTGAAATCGTCAATCTATCGAAATTTATTTCTATGAAATTTTAGTATTCCCAAGTTATATTTCTTTTCTCCTTGGTTCTTTTTTTTTTTCGTCATTTCGATTGCATCGGTCCTTATATTAAAATGTGGATCCCCCACCACAATCATTCCAAATTTAACTCACAAATCAACCTTGATGTCTTTACGGTTGGAATTTGATATTCCACAATTGTATTTATTTGTTTGTTTTTCTAATATGTATATAGTGTTCATGATCTTCTGCTGGATATTTCCTTATTTCTCTCTGCTAAATCCAATATGCCACTCTTTTATGCTTGTCTATCAAGTCTTTGATAATGGGTAACGATTATATGTCACACAGAGTGGCTATTGGTACATTTTACTCCAGAGCCTATGGTACATGTTTTTAAAAAAAATCATATTCGTTCCTCTATCGTTTTACTTTTTCGCGTTTAAAAGGTGTTCTCTCACAACTTTTTAAACATTTTATATGCCTAGTAAATTTTGTTTTATATTCCAATGTAAACAATGTAGAGTTTCTGTTTATATTAATATTACTTCTGTTACAACATATGGACGTTGAATCCAATCCTGGCCCGGGGTCTGGTGAACTCTCAATTTTTCATTTAAATATTAGAAGTGTTAGAAACAAAATTGAATATATAGAAAATCTTGCAGGTGAATATGATATAATTTGTTTGTCTGAAACACATCTTGATGCTACAGTCCCTACCAGTGAATTGATTATTGATGGTTTTCATCCTCCCTTCAGACTTGACAGAAATTTTGCAGGAGGGGGTGTATTAGTATATATGAATAGTACTTTTAAAGTTGATAGGTTAATTGATTATGAAGTTCCTGACTTAGAAGTTATATGGTTACAAATCCTTCTTCCAAATCGAATGAAACTTATTATAGGATCAGCCTATCTATCAAATTATCATGATGCCAACCGTTTTTGGGATACTCTTCGTATTTCTTTAAATAACGCTTTTGACCTTACTAGTAACGTTATTTTGTTAGGAGATTTGAATGTGGATTTATTAACAATGTCCCATAATCATGTTTTTGCTGATATTATTGATACTTTTAACTTGAACAATGTCATAAATGAACCTACAAGGATAAGTCCTACTAGATCTAGTTTACTAGATCCAATCTTATTATCAGATTCTCTAACTTGTATAGATTCTTCAGTTATAGAAACTGACAGATTATATACTGACCATGAAGGGTGTGTTGCAGATGTTCTTGTTCCTTTTAATTTTAAACCTGTATATAAGAGGAAAGTATGGTTATATAAAAGAGCAAATTTTGAATTATTCAATAACCTTATTAGGGATTATGATTGGAATACGTTCTTCGCCAATTATAATTCAGTCCATTTAGCCAGTGAGGATTTTACCAATATTTTTCTTGATTTTGCTAATAGATGTATTCCAAATAAAAATGTTACTATTAGGCCTGGAGACAAGCCATGGATGAATTCTGATTTGAGGACAAATATGAAATTACGTGATCGGTTAAGAAGGAAAGCCATAAATTCAAAAGATCCTAGGGACATCACTAACTTTAAAAACCAGAGAAATAGAGTAAATAATATGAAAAAGCATGCGAGGGCTTCATTCTATGATAACGCTACTGACCTTATTGATCATTGTACGGGAGACCCCAAGAAATATTGGAAACTCATTAAAAAATTAATAGGTAAGACTGGGTCCACCGATTCTATTCCTTCTTTAATAGATCCAAACTCTGGTCTTCTATTTGTAGATGACAAAAGGAAAGCTGATATATTAAATGAATATTTTTGTAGTATTACTAATATTGATGATAGAAATATTGAAGTGCCTTTATTACATTCCAAAACAAATAGTTCTTTTAACTCTATAGTTATTGACCATGTTGAAATTTGTGACAATTTGAAAAACTTAAAGCTTGGGAAAGCATCAGGCGAAGATGGAATTAGTCATCATATGCTTAAGTACACAGCTGATACAGTCTGTAAACCACTCGAACTTCTTTTCAATCTCTCCCTATCTACTTGTACATTTCCTAATATGTGGAAATCAGCTAAGGTCATGCCCCTTTTTAAAAAAGGTGATAGACATTCAGTATCTAATTATCGACCTATTTCTCTTCTGTCTACGATCGGTAAAGTATTTGAAAGGGTTATCTTTAAGCATTTGTATAATTATTTCTTTGAACATGATTTTTTTTATCAGTACCAAGCCGGTTTCATGCCTGGTCATTCAACAGTTTATCAGCTACTAGAAATCTATCATAATATTTGTTTAGACCTTGAAAGGGAACAACATACCTGTATGATATTTTGTGATATTTCCAAAGCCTTTGACCGAGTCTGGCACAAAGGCCTAATAGTTAAATTAAAATCTTATGGTATCTCTGGTGATTTTTTGGTTTGGATAGAAAATTATTTATGTAATAGACAGCAGAAAGTATATATAAACAACTCTTCTTCCGATATTGGTATGATAGGTGCTGGAGTTCCCCAAGGCTC